GTACAATTGCACCTACCAGACCCGTGATGATGTGTTAGGGGCTGGTTTCCCTCACAACCACAACATGAGGAACTGTATTAAAGGGTCACAGCATCGGAAAAGTTGAGAACCACTGCCTTAAACCATGCAGAAGCCCCATATACTGTCACTATCTGTCTATAACGTACAATGGGTGCCACCTATCTGCCATACAAAGAATAAAGAATAAAAACTCCCTATCCAAAATTCCTAAATTATTTACTGTTCAGTGTCAAAAGATATACCTTACAAAAAAAGGAAGATAAATCAAGAGAAGGCTCCTGACCCCAAAAGAGTTTATAAGCTCAATGGAGAGACAAAGCAAAAGGTATAGGAATTAATTTTACAGAAAATCAAAATGACAAAAACCAAGAAAGGTCTCCTTGACATGACTGAACAATGGAATGATGTATGCATTAACTCTCAATTAATAATACGTAAAACAACAACATAGATCTAGGAATGGGTTTTGGGCTCGCACTAAATCCTAGCTCCAACTTAAGAACAATTAGTTCTTATATCATGGCCTTGCTCAATACTCGTCCTCAGTGAAGGAATACAGAAAATATGGGTGCTATAGCAAAATGTGGTGAAGAAATTAGATGGTGCCTGGCTATTAGATAAATTAGCACCTGGGCTCTCCAAACAAGCAGCCATCTAAGTGAAATGTCAACTAAGTTCACATGGAAGAAATACACCATCATCAGTCACCAAAGGATTGTAAATGATATAATCTGAAGTGAGAGGAATTAGTATCAGAGCCTAATTGTGAGAACCTGGTTTGCAGAAGGCTATGGATGACAGTGGGAACTATATACCGTAGGAAATCAGCCCCCGGTGACCTCCCTCTCTCCGCAATGGAAGGGATGGAGGAAAGCGGTTACCAGACAGAGTGCATTGGAGAGATGAGTGTTGATCAAAGGCATCCATCTGACTTGAAGAGTTAAAACTTTGTCAGTTGCTCCCCCCTCTGATGTATGCTAGACCTGATCTGGTTTAGTGGTGGGGGAGACGGGTAAAAAAGGAGACTATATCAAGGAGTCCAGGAAGAAAGAGAATGTTTGGAAACTGATTGTGGTAACAATTGTACAATTTTGGTTGACATGATTGGACTATGGAATGATATAGTATGTATTAACTACCAATTAATTAAAATAAAACAAAAACAAAAAAGGGCAAGGGACATAAACAGGCACATATAAATGGTCAAAAGCACATAAAAAGGTACAACATCATTAGTCATTAGACAAATGCAAATAAAAATGAAAGTGAGGGGGGAGCGGGGAAAAAATGAGGAGCTGATACCAAGGGCTCAAGTATAAAGCAAATGTTTTCAGAATGATGAGGGAAACAAATGTACAAATGTGCTTGACACAATGGATGTATGTATGGATTATGATAAGAGTTGTACGAACCCCCAATAAAGTGATTTAAAAAATTAAAAAAATACAAGTGAGATACCATATCCACTAGGATAGCTATTATTTAAAACAAAACAAAACAAGACAAAACCCCCCAAGTGCTGGGAAGGCTGTGGAGAAATTGGAATCCCTTATCCACTGTTGGGAACAGTGCAGTCACAGCATTGTGGCTGTGGGAAAGAATCTGGTGGTTCCTGAAAAAGTTAAACATAGTCTTTATCCTGACCCAGTTATTTGTACACTAGTGATTTTCAGCACTAATCCCAATAACCCAAATGTGGAAACAATCTAAGTGTCCATCAGCAGATGAATAAACAGAGCATGTTATGCACACACAATGAAATATTATTCTGCATAAAAAGGAATGAAGTTCTGAGGCATATTTAACCATGGACAAACAGTGAAAACATTATTCCAAGGGCACAAGTAGAAAGAAAATGTTTTGAAAATGATGATGGCAACAATGTAAAAATGTGCTTGACACAATGAATGGATGGATGGATTGTGATAAGAACTATACGAGCCCCTAATAAAATGGAAAAAAAAAGAGAGAGAGAAATATCTAAATTAGGCAAATTTATAAAGACAAAGTAGATTAGCTCCCTGGGCTCCGAGGATGATGGAATAGAGCATTTTTGCTTAAAGCAGGGAACAAGGTTGTTTTGTTTTTTGGGGGGATTTCTTTGCTTGAGGCTATTTTGTCTGTATCTGTTGGATACTCTGGGTTGCAGGTCTTCTAGCATCCAATCTAGGTATATATGGAAGTCATAAGGGGAAGCCAGCGAACTCTCTGCTGTATTTTTCCTCAGATACTTAGCTCCCTAGCCAGTGTGCCTTCTTTTCATCTTACAGTCCTTGTATTTGTTTGTTGTGTCATATAGAGAATTTTCCAGTTAAAGATTAGTGAACCAGTTGTTGATATAAATATCTTTTAAAAACTGAACTTATTTTCCTCTATTATTTATTGATGTGTACTTCAGCTTATAAAGCATCAGGTCTTTTAAGTGCATAATCTATCTTTCAGCTATTGTTCCACCCATCTCCAAGGACCCGTCTGTTTGGGAGAAGGGGAGGCAGCTACGTGAGTGTTCTCTTTGTTAGTCACCTTTTCCAGAGTATTCTAAGTCCTTCATAGTAGAAGTATAATCTAAACTTAAAATAATATAACCACATAATTTCAATTGCATGGTACTTTGACAAGAGAATGAAAACAGCATAAGCTAACGAGGAAAGCTTCTTCTCTAAAAATAAATTTTTCTAAAATCACGAGGTTTAATAAAAATTAAGACCGGCCTTCAACAATAAATTGCCTGTATTTCCCCAGCATCCTTTTAGAATTTCTAATCTTTACTCCTTGTCATAATTATACATTTATACTTTGTTCTTTCATGGTACCTTGTACCTTGAATTTTTCCCAATACTTGTCTCATAGAAAACAAAATCCTTACCATCAAAAGAGCAAATGTGTATATAAGTAGTAAGCGTATTTTGTAACTTTACAAAAACAAAATTTAGGGATTTTCTAAAACATAGAACTTTGGAATTAATTCATCAAGTTCCAAAGTATCCGTTGGGATTTTGATTGGAATTCCTTATACTCCATGGGAGAAAAATGAGGCTGTCTGCTCATGTACAGATTCAAAGCCTTGGAAACCTAATATAGGGCTGCAACGAGTCAGAATTTACTAGATAGCAGTGAGTTGTTGTTGAAACAGTTACATTTAAGGAAATTACTTCTAATTTTATTTTCAGTTAAGCATAAAATACCTTATAAAATTCATTTCTACTAGTGTAAAGAAATGTGTGCTCCTTGGCCTGAGATCACTCCCCTTCCTCTACCTGCACTATATCCACCTGACCCCTGTCCAGTGCTTGTCCGTGGGGGAAAAACTGAACACGGGCAAGCTAGGCCTCGTATTGCCTCTTGCTTTCACAGATACAGAAGTTTAACTCCGGGCTTGATTACTACTTTCAGTGTGGTTCATATTGTGCTAATAATTGATTGCTTGACAGTATCCAAGATAAAATTATTTTTAATTATAATATTTTTATATCTCTCTAGTTTATTTCTTTGGATTTCTTTTCAAGAAAGATACTCCAGGGGGCGATGTAGCAACGATGAAAAATACAACTTTCCTCTAGTTCCTAAATGTTTCCTCCCCGCTCCCACTATCATGATATGAATTCTACCTTGCAAGCCTGGCCAGACCAGAGGATGTACACTGGTACAGATAGGA